GTCCCAGTGCGATCCCTGTGCTGCTCCCGCAGCGAGGGGCTGGGTGCCTGGAGGGCCCTGCGTGCTGGCGCAGGGTGGCTGAGCCCTTGCGACCCGGGCAGCAGCACGCGGGGCCAGGGGCAGCCGGCGTGCCTGTGGGCCCAGCTCCGTGTGCGATTGCAGCTGTGTTGTGGTGGGCTGTGCAGGGGCACCTGAGCCCGCCCAGCGCTGCCCCTTACCAGAAGTGGGGCAGTGCAGAGCCCAGCGTGGAGCGCAGGATGGGGGGGAGTGGGGCATGGCCTGGTCCCCATCGGGAGGGCAGAGCTGGGCTTGCTGCACAGAAGAGGCCCCAGAGCTGCGGTCCCAGGAGCAGAGAGGGCTGGGGACCACGCAGCACAGCTGGCACCAGGCCTGGTGATGAGGAAAGCATCTCTTGGCCCACAGTGCCAGACAGACCTGGGTGAACAGTGCAGCCTGGGTCCTGCTGGAGAGTCCCGAGCCTTCCTCATCTCTCTTCCTTCTCCAGCTGAATATCCTGGTGGACACAGGGAGCAGTAACTTTGCCGTGGGGGCTGCACCTCACCCCTTCCTCCGGAGGTACTACCAGCGGCAGCTGTGAGTATTGCTGTGGGCATAGGGGCTGAGGGGGACACAGGGACCACAGCTGCCTGTCCTTGTGCCTGCACTGGTCTTAGTCTGGCTCTTTGATGCTGTTCCAGGTCCAGCACCTACCGGGACCTGCGGAAGGGGGTGTACGTGCCCTACACCCAGGGCAAGTGGGAGGGGGAGCTGGGCACTGACCTCGTCACCATTCCCCACGGCCCCAATGTCACCGTCAGAGCTAACATCGCTGCCATCACAGAGTCGGACAAATTCTTCATCAATGGCTCCAACTGGGAAGGGATCCTGGGGCTGGCCTACGCTGAGATCGCCCGGGTGAGTCCTGGCTTGCAGGTGGCAGGGGATCCTGCTGCCCTCTCGTAGGGGCTCTGTCAGCGCTCCTCCGTCCTCAGGTTGTTACCACTTTGTCCATACCTGTTGGTGGATGCGCCAGTGACCTTGAGGGGAGCTCGCCTGGGCGTCCTCCCCTCGGCATAGAGAGCCCCTGGAGAAGGGGTAGCACTGACATGTCCCTGTCCTGCCTCTGTTCTTCTCCTCCCACCAGCCCGATGACAGCCTGGAGCCCTTCTTTGACTCGTTGGTGAAGCAGACCCAGGTGCCCAACATCTTCTCCCTCCAGCTTTGCGGGGCAGGCTTTCCGCTCAATGAGACTGAGGCCCTGGCGTCCGTGGGAGGCAGCATGGTGAGTAGTCTGGAGCGAGAAGCCAGTGTGGCAGGCTGGGGAGGCCTGGGAGCCCTGGTGCAGGTGTCCTGGAGGGCAGGTCTGGACATACGGGATGTGTCCTGGCCAGAATTGGCAGCATGCAGTGGCAGTGCCTGTCTGTCCCTGCTGCAGATCATTGGCGGTATCGACCACTCGCTGTATGTGGGTGACATCTGGTACACACCTATCCGCAAGGAGTGGTACTACGAAGTCATCATCGTCAAGCTCGAGGTCAACGGGCAGGACTTGAACATGGACTGCAAAGAGGTGACGTGGGGAGGGGGCACCGGGGGGCATGCCCTTGGGGGCACGGTTCCTGCCGCTGGATGACCACCAGTGTGGTGTTCCTGCCGCTTCGTCCCTGCTGAAACCGCTCAGCACGCTGAGTGCTCCAGGCCGTGCTGCCTGTGGATTTGGACCCGCATTGCTGAGGGGCTGATGGAGGCCGGGGGCACAGGCAGTTTGTCCAAGGCCAGAGCCTGGGCTTTGCGCCTGTCACCACAGCAAGCAGAACCGGAGCCTGGCCCCGCTGTCTGCGCGCGGGTGGCCAGAGCGGTCGGGCAGTGGAGGGAACAGGGGAGCTGGGCTCATGTCTTACACCTGGGTCACTCTTCCTCTTCCTACCCCCAGTACAACTACGACAAAAGCATCGTGGACAGTGGGACCACCAACCTCAGGCTGCCAAAGAAAGTTTTTGAGGCTGCAGTGAAATCCATCAAAACAGCTTCTTCGGTCAGTGTGGCCCTCAAAACTAGCCCAGCGCTCCCCGCTCTGCAGACACGTCCCCAGTGCCAGCCCAGGGCTGGGAGCAGAATGCCCACCTGTCCCCAGCCTGAGCATCTCTGCTCCCCACCCGGCACGGTCCCACTCACTTCTCCTTTCCCTCTGGCAGACGGAGAAGTTCCCGGATGGCTTCTGGCTGGGGGAGCAACTGGTTTGCTGGCAGGTCGGCACCACCCCCTGGCACATCTTCCCTGTCCTGTCCCTCTACCTGATGGGAGAGGCCACCAACCAGTCCTTTCGGATCACCATCCTACCCCAGGTCAGCATTGGTGGGGCCGGACCCTGCCCAGTGCTGAGCTGGGCAGTGGGCTGGAGCTGGGCGGCACAGGCAGGACCGTGCTGGACACAGCTGCCCACAGGAGCCCTGCCCTGCTCTCCTTTCCTGCT